GCACCTCTGCAAATTCGTGGTGCCAGACTCCACGGCCCCAGCCTAGACAAAGGTTCCCTATGCCTGGAAGGTGATGTCCACTTCTCAGTCTTCAGGAAAGAATGGAGTGGTGTCGTGATCAAGATCTGGTGTTGGACAGATCCAGGTTCAAATCCCAGCTCTGCTCCTTAAAGGCTGTGTGACCCTAGGCAAGTGACATCCCTTCTCTGCACCTCAGTAAAATGGGTTAACCACAGATCCTACTTCACGGTGGAGCTGTGAGGCATCCACGGGGGAGTCCGTACACAGTGCTCAGCTGGGAGCAGCCAGCAGTAACGCCCACGGTCACTACTGCGTTACTACCTCTCCCCTAGCACACGACCATAAAAGGCTGGCTGATGGCCTGGGTGTGCCCCATGGAATCTTCTCAGCTTCAGAACCCTGCCAGTGACCCCCAGAGAAAGGACCAAGGGGAAAGCAGGCTGTCCCCAGCGCCCCATCCGTACCTTGGTGAGGTGAGCGTTGTACATGTCGGTGAGGAGCCTGCGTCCACGTCCCACGCCGAGCACTGAAAGGCACCCAGCCTGATCTCACACCTGGCTCCCCTTCCCATTCCCTTGTGACCCCCCCACCCGCCATCAGAATACTCCCACCTCCAACGCTGCTAAAGCCAGCAAAGGGGAAGGAGAGCTTCTTCCAGAGGGAACAAGCAAGCTCCCGGGAGTATACAGGAAAATGCACGTCTGCGCCCCACCCATATGTACTGACTCTGAGTTGTCATGGGGAGGGGACCTAGGATCCTTAGTAAGCTCCCTAGGGGGTTCTGATGCACTTAAAAGTAAGAGACCACTGGCCCAGACACAGAAACCTACACTCGAATCTGGGGTAGCTCTGAGCGTGTCCTTTAACCTCCTTGGGTCTCAGGCTTTATCCTCATCAGTAAAACAGGGATAAAAATATCTCCTGATTCCTGTGGGGGTTGTGATGATTAAGACAATGCACAGGAAGTGGTCAGCACAAAGGATGGGCCCAACAAACACAGCATTGTGGCCACTCCCAGCCTTTGCCTAGGTCTGTTTCTCCCTCTGGTTAAAAACAAGAATGACCCTCCATTCACTCCTGGAGAAGGGGTATGAGATCACGTCTGCTTGCCTGTGCCCCAGGATGCAGGACAAGGGCATTGGGACTGTCGTGCATGGAGGATATGGCCACCGCCTGACCCTGGGGACACAGATGGCTCATGATTCAGGGTTTTGTGTGTCCAGCTCCAGCAACATCCAGACCCTGGCCAGTGGAGCCAGAGTCATGCACTTGGCTACCCCACACAGGCTATGACAGTTTTCCCTCCCTGGACCAGGGGCATGTGACCAGGATGAGTGACCCTAGCTCCTGGAGCCTTATTGTATTCATCCATAAAATCATACACTGTCTACCCAGTAAGGCAGTTGTGGTGAATCCACGTCACAGGCAGGAATCACTTGATAAAGGCGGGCAATTGCGATTTCCATTCTGTGACTTCTCTGCTCCACCGGTCATCTCCCCAGCTGATCAGACTCGGGGTATCAAGGGAGGAGGGCAGTGTGGGACATGGCTGTTAGGTTACTAGTGGGCTGGGCTCCTAGTAGCTCCTCAATGCTCCCCTGTGCCCATATCACTATACCCCCAGACTCACCACGTCACCTACCAAGCACCCCAGAAGCCTGGGCATCCAGCCGATGTCCTACGCCAACCTTCAGGCTGGTGAATGTCGGTCCACACACTGGGAAGAAACAAACGGGGTCCCTTTCCTCAATGAATGAAGCAGCCCCGAGGATGGGTCTGGGCCATGTGGTGACCTCATTCCAAGGATGTAGCCTCACGGAGCCCAAAGCAGGAGCAGGTTGGACTCTCGGATTCCTCACCATGGAATCTGGAGCCCAGAATCATTTCCTCAGTTCCCTGGACCCAGAGAAAGGGCATCCCAAGATGCCTGTTACTCTGCTATCGCCATTCCCCCAGTGAGAGGCTTCACGTGGACTGGGCATAATTCTGGGAGTCAAGACTGTGGGGTTCTCTATCCAGCTCCCGCAGGACAGTCCTGGCCACTATCCCAGTGAGAAAATGGAGGCTGTGAGCTCCTTAAGGTGGGGCCTGGGTCTGTCTGTTCACAGTTCCACCCCCAGAGTCCATAACTCACCAGGTGCTCAGCAAATAACGTTTGGTTTTTTTTTGAGGAAGATTAGTCACTGCCAATCCTCCTCTTTTCGCTGAGGAAGACTGGCCCTGAGCTCACATCCGTGCCCATCTTCCTCTACTTTATATGTGGGATGCCTACCCCAGCATGGCGTGCCAAGCAGTGCCATGTCCACACTCGGGATCCGAACCGGCGAACCCCGGGCCACAGAAGCGCAATGTGCGCACTTAACCACTGAGCCACCAGGCTGGCCCCAGCAAATAACTATTGCAAGAATGAATGAATCATCAAAATATACTCATTAAATATGTGTAGTTTTTAGTATATCAACTATACCACGATAAAGATGTAAAAAAAAAAAGTGAACGCATAATGAGCCGGAAGCATTTACGTTCCTGTAGATCAAGAGGAAACGAGGGAAAGGGTACGGGGTGGTTAAGAGCCTGCTGAATCCAGGCTATGACACTTAATCTCAGCAATGAGCCTCAGTTTCCTCATTTGTGTAGTGGGAATAAGATCTACCTGGCAGGACTGTGGTGAAGATTCAATGAGATGGCGTTTGGGAAGAACTTAACACAGAATCTAGAGCAACGTCTCCCTCACACACCACACTTGTTACTTGTTATACAGTGGAGTCACTGCATATCACTGTCAAAGGGGTTTTAGAGGTTTCTGGTCAAGCCCCTCAGTCCTCCTACAGCCTCCCCCAAACAGGCCTTAATCACCTCTAGTGACGGGGGGCTCATTATCAAAACTAGTTCCACTGTTACGCAGCTTTGTTGGCTAAAAAGTCGCTGTTTCCCAAGAGCCCAAAACTCCCTCTTTAGGACTTCTACCTGAGGGTCTCAGTTCCTCCCTAGAGTCCCAGGATAGTAAAGGGGTCCACAGGTCAAATCTTCAAGCCTATTTTTTTTTTGGCCCACGAGTTCAAAGGGTTTTTATATTTTTCAATGGTTCAAAAAAAATCCAGAGAATAATATTTTGTGACATATGACAATTATATGAAATCCAAATGTCAGTGTCCCTAAATAAACTTTTACTGGAACACAGCCAGACTCACTGCTTTACATATTGTCTACAGCTGCTTTCACACTACAATGGCAGAAACGAGGCTACAAAACCTAAAACATATACATATATATACATATATATATATATATATATTTTTTTTTTTTTTTTTTTTGAGGAAGATTAGCCCTGAACTAACATCTGCCGCCAATCCTCCTCTTTTTGCTGAGGAATACCGGTCCTGAGCTAACATCCATGCCTATCTTCCTGTACTTTATATGTGGGATGCCTGCCACAGCATGGCTTGACAAGCAGTGCGAAGGTCCCCACCGAGGATCTGAACTGGCAAATCCCGGCCCCCAAAGCAGAACATGCAAACTTAACCGCTGCGCCACCAGGCTGGCCCCCAAAGCCTAAAATATTTACTATCTGTCCCTTTCCAGGAAAATTTGCCAATCCATGGTCAAATATTTCATCCCCACTGTGGCCCTTCAAGTGTCTGGGACAGAAGGGAGTCTGAGCCCTTACTGGGACACTGACTCTGGGGAGAGATTCTCGGGGAAGCGACACCCAGGCCCCTGCCTGAATGGGCCTTACCCAGCGGATGGTCGGTGAGGGTGGGCACACTGGCGGCTGTGAGGGTCAGCTCCTTCTCTTCGCTGCCTTCCACAGGGCCCAGCAGGAAGCGAACACGCTGTTCAGGGGCAGGAGGCTTCCCAGCATTGAGACCTGAGCACACATACGTAAAAGGACATCTTGTCAATTCTGTCCGAACACCTCGGGGAGGGGGACAGGGAAGTATGGAGATGTGGAAGGCAGACAAATCCCAGGCGTAGCGAACAGAAGAGCAGTACTTAAGAAACAGACTTGGTTTCAAATCCTGACTCTACCACTTATTAACTACTTACGACAAAGTACAATACTGACTCCGTTTACCCATCCGAACACAGGGAAAAGTGAGGAGTAACGGAATGTACACAACAGATGATTAGTAAAGTGCTCTGCCGAGGCGACTAGGTCACGTGACTTTATTTTGTGGGAAGGATCAGAAGCGGAGATGGTATCCCGGGAGAACGGGAGCGGGATCGTGGGTCTCGTTCAAGGCACTCACCCTTCAGAAGCTGCAACTCCACGGTGTCCCGCAGATGCTTCCATTTTAGCCCCGGGGGCTTGTAGGCCGCGAAGAGCCCATGCAGCCGCGCCAGACCACCGGGCCCCATGCTGGAGGCCCACCGCTCGGGCTCGCGGAAAACCCCGCTCCAGCCGGAAGTGCCGTATAGTCCCGCCCCCAAATAGACCTTACAATGGGCGCCGCCATGTTTTGCAGCCGGAAGAGGTTCGCGTTTTATTGTCCTCGGGGAAAACGTGCTGCGGCCAAGAAAGTAGGGCCCGGCGCTGAACCCCTCTCCCTGAGTCCCCCACCCAAAGCTAGCGGGGCTTACCTGCTTTGGGAGTGAGGTGAAAATGGGAAAGTTTTATATCGGTAGAAATAGGTGTAGGCAGGTCGCCTGCTTTCCTTCTCCTACTTAGAATAGGGCGCTTTCCTGTCTGTGCTATGGTTTTTCCCCTTAAAAGGACCTCCGCCCAGTAGGTATCAAGTCCTTGTGACTTCTCCGGCGCTCCGTCGCCGGAGAAGTTTGGGGCGTCGGCCTTGCCCCGCCATCCTTCCGCGGACGTCCGACAGCGCCCGCTGCCATGGCGACGCTGCTGCGCCGGGCCCTGCGCCCCTTCCCCCCGCTCCAGGGCCCTCCCGGGCCTGCTGCAGGCAAGTGGCCCAGGCGGGAAGGAGTCCTGGGGGCCCCGTGCATCTTTGACCCGCGGCCTTTTTCTTGCCCTGCAGATGTCCCCCTCCGAGCCGCGAGCCATGGCGCTGGCCTGCTTTACCCTGAACACATCCCCACCTCCCCACTGCAGAAGGCGCTGCTGGCCGCCGGCTCTGCCGGAATGGCGCTTTACAACCCGTATCGCCACGGTAAGGCAGCCCGTGCCTGACGCTCCCGGGGGCCCTTGAAACCTGGGCGGGTCCTGATCTCTTTCAGAGCCTCGGTTTCCTATGGGTAACTGGGGACTAGACCTGGCTGCACCTCAAAATCACCCACAACGTTCATGAAAATGCAGATGCCTGAATCCCACTCTAAACTGACTCAATCCTAATCTGCCGGGAGTGGGGAGCGGAGGGAGCAGGGACGCGGAATCTGAGTTTCTGCCTTTTTTAACTACTCCCCGGGAGATTCTGTCATCCAGCCACATTGAGAACCTCTGGACTATTTAAATAGATGATTTATGAGCACCTATCAAATTATAACGTCGTACTAGAAATTAGCTTTATGAGGTCAGGGACACGACTGCCCCGTTCTCCTGTATTGGCAGCGTTTTGGATAGTGCATGGCATACAATAAATGTTTGTTGGATGTATGAACAGAACATCCTAGGATCCTACAGGGTCCTTCCCATGCCTTCCAGGATCTTAAGTCGGAAAGTACTATTACTCCTACTAATAAAAACAGTAATGCTAAATGCTCACTGAGCACTTATGCTAGCTGCTCACTGCACCAAGCGTTTTATATGCATGATGTTCTTGATTTCTCACATTAACCCTATAAGAAGGGTGTTATCTGCACTTCATAAATTAGGACAGGAGGCTTGGAATCGTGAAGTGATTTGCACAAGGCCACCTAGTTAGTGACTGCACCTGGGTCCAAACCCAGCACTCTCTCATGCCAAAGCCTGTACCCGTCAATGGAGACATGATATTCTGTTGTGATAATGGGTGTGAAGGTGATTTATAAACTCTTTCAAGCACTGTGCTGACCAGAGCCACCTCATCCTTTTAGATTGATAGCATTGATGATAGTAACTCTAGATATGCTGAGCCCTTACAGTGTGCCAGGTGATATGCTAAGTTTAACATGAATCCTCATAACTAAGAGGTAGGTAGATATTTTATCTTGTAGGAAACTAATGCTCAGACTAGATCAGGTAACTTGCCTAAGATCGTATCCTCCATTTATCTCCATTTCTTTCCTTTCAGACATGGTCGCAGTTCTAGGGGAGACCACAGGACGCCGTGCCTTGAAGGTCCTCAGGGATCAGATGAGGAGGGATCCAGAGGGTTCCCAGATCCTGCAGTAAGTCCCAGCTCTGCCTGAGCGATGAGGAGCATTCTCTGGGGATCCTATTCTCTGTGGGGTCACATTGTGCTCCTCTCGGGAGCCCTTCTTGTACTCTGGCCATGGATGGCTGCACAGGCTGGGCACTGCCCAACTCCGGGGGTACTGTTCATATAGACATTATGATGACCCCTGGGTAGTGCCATGTGGTGGCCTCAGCCCAGTTTCAGCCACAGGGCTCTGTGCCTTCACTAAGCTCCCATAACACACGCCAGCTGTACCCCACGCCCTTTGTGAGTACCCTGATCACATGTGAGGCCTGCCTGCCTAGATTGTATCCTGACAGGCAGGAACCACATCCTTAGCTTGTGGTAGTCTCCTCAGCCCCTGCCACTGGTTTGGCTAGTAGAAGGTGCTCCATTAGGACATATGGCCCCATTGCTGCTCTCTGCCCCTTCACGAAACCCACCTGCTCTAGCTGGACCTTTCACCTGCCTTTGCTGGTGCCCTCCCAGTAACTAAGTCCTGCCTTCTGCCTTGTAGAGAACGACCCCGAATCTCACTCTCCACCCTTGACCTGGGCAAGCTCCAGAGCCTGCCTGAGGGCTCCCTCGGCCGCGAGTATCTCCGTTTCCTGGATGTGAATGTGAGTTTCTAGCTTCTGTGCACTTTGCAGTCACCGGGAGGGCAGAGGAGTGGCACAGGAGTGATGTCCTGTGGAAGGAGGAACCCTGAGCTGCCACTATGGGCAGGAGTGCTTTTCAATCCTTTGTGCCAAGGCTTGTCATTTTCCCTTGGACAGGCAAATAGTCTGGGAACGTTACTCCAAGCAGTAATACTAGCCAACATTTATTAACCGCTTGCTGCATGCCAGATGCCAGGCTCATACATGATCTCACTGCGTCCTCCCAGCAACCCTGTCAAGTGTGTTCTATTATTATCCCCGTTTAGTAGATGAGGAAACTGAGGCTCAGAGCAGCTAAGCAACTTGCTGATCTCATACAGCCAGTATTAATGGAGGCCAGTATTAATGGAGTATTCAAACCCAGATTGTGCTCTTTAATTGCTGCACTGTATCCCCTGTTCCAGGGACAGTGCTTTCCCTAGAGTATGACACGTTGTGGCACTCTGCAGCCCCAGGCAGGGAGGACAGGGGCTGGGGGGTGGGGGAAGAGTCTCAGTTACTGAGGAACTCATTCATTTGTTCAGAATCTGCCGTGTGCCGTCCATTGTTCCAGGTGCTGGGATAGAATGATAACTAGATGGACAAGGTCCCCCCTCATGGAGCTAATATTCCAGTTGGGGAAGTAGACAATAAAACAGTAAAAGAAAAAATATTCATATAAAAATTAGGCAAGATATTTATCGAGTACTTAGAACATACCAGATACTGTTCTCCGCAGTTGGGATACAGTGAATGAAACCAGCAGAGAGCCTGCCCTGGTGGAGCTTCCATTCTGGCAGGTGGTGCTGTGAGGACAGCAGTCAACATGATAGAGGGCTGGGCTGGAGCGGGGGCACTTCTGATAGGGTGGTCATTGGAGGCCCCTCTGAGGAGACTTGGAAGATGAGGAGGAGCCAGCCCTGAGGAGAGCTGAGGAGGAGCATTCTGAGCAGAGGGACTGGCAAGTGCAAGGCTCTGAGTGTTTAGGAACAGGAAAACTGACCACTGTGGCCATAGAGGAGTGAGTCAGGGACAGGCAGCCAGGGGGCCGGGAGGTCAGCTGGGCCACGCCCTGCCAGTCATGAGAAAGAGTCTGCATTTTGTAATAGGAGCAAATAGGAAGCTATTGCAGGTTTCCAGCTGGGTAGTTGCATGATCTGATTTATAAAGGGACCTTAGGATACAGCTTGGCCACCTTCCCTCTCCCTACCCACCTCCAACACCTACACACCCGATCAAACCACGTCTGCCAAGTGGCTGTCCAGCCCAGCTGCAGGAGCCAGCCAGCTGGAGGAGGTGAGGGAGTGAGCCAAGGTGGCTTTAGAACTGCGTGTCTCAACCTTAGCACTGTAGACTTTTTGGGTCAGATAATTGTTGTGGAGGCTGTCCTGTCCATTGTAAGATGTTTAACAGCATCCCTGGCCTCCACCCACTAGACACCAGTACCTCCCTAAGTTGTGACAACCACCAATGTCTCCAGACATTGCAAATGTCCCCTGGTGGACAGTTGAAAACCACTGCTCTACAAGGTTATTGTCCCTGAAAAAATAATCTGTTCCTCGTACTGTCCTGACACTTGCCTCTGCCCCATTTTATACCATCTCCTTCAGATTTCACCAGGATACAAGTTATTTCATCAGTGGGAAACCCATCAGGGTGACCTGCCCCAAGTGCCACCCAGGGAGGGACAACCTTCTGAGGTTCCCCAGCGCCTTTCGTCCTGTTGCTATGGAGGAGGTGGGACTGCCAGGGCCTCCATGGGCACCTTGTCTGGTCACAGCCCTAGAGATTGTGACACTTGTAGAACATGGAAAGCAGCAGCACACAGAATGGGAAGGCATGCCTTTGTCCCAGCAGAGATTAAGTCAAGGTTCAAGGTGAAGTCACCTCCCTGAGGCTGATGTTGGCAGGAGGTATGGTCATCCTGGTGACATCAAGATTACAGGTGGCTCGGCCTGGGCTCTGGAGTTCATCGTAGCCTGAGTCAGAATCCTGCCTCTTTTCCCAGCTTTATGGCCCTGGGAAAATCATTTGATCTCTCTGAGCCTCAGATTCCTTATCTGAGGTAAGGAGACCTAAAGTTTATCTTCCAGGGTACTTAGATGGCTTACTAATAATGGGTATTAAGACTACTGGCTTTGGAATCCAGCAGACTTTGTTTCAAGTCCTGACTCAGCCATTTGATTAGCTGTGTGACCTTGGGCAAGTTACTTTATCTCTCTGAGCCTTATTTTCCTTTTCTGTATCTGAGACTCATACCAGTATCTACCCCCTAGATGATCATGAGGGTGAAGTATGATAATACATGTAAAAGACATCATACACTGCTGGCACATGGTAGGTACTCAATAAATGTGGCTGCTCTCGGGGCTGGCCCCATGGCCAAGTGGTTAAGATCTTGCGCTCTGATTCGGCGGCCCAGAGTTTCGCAGATTTGGATCCTGGGCATAGACCTAGCACTGCTCATCAAGCCATGCTGAGGCGGCACCCCACATAGCACAACCAGAAGGACCTACAACTAGAATATACAGCTATGTACTCGGGGGCTTTGGGGAGAAGAAGAAGAAAACAAGTAGCTGCTCTCACTGTGATCGCCTTGAGGTTCGTATAGCACGGAGAACCCTGCAGAAGAAATTAGGACCTGGTACCCAAGGAGGCCACAGACCATGGCACTGAGCCAGCAGCCCGAAAGCCATGAAGATGTCAAATCTCTCGCCCTCTGGACAGGCTGAGGCCATGTTTTGGGAACAGGAAGACCAGGTTCTTCCCACTCTGGGTGCTCCTGAGCACTCAGAAGGGTAGGTAGGTAAAGGAGGATGGCTCATGTTCCTTCCTGGATCAGGAAAGTGCCTGGGGGCTGGCCTTTTACTCACGCAAGAGGTGTAGATCCACCAGGCCCTGGAGCTCCTACAGTGAGCCAGACAGAGCCAGCCCTGTCCTCGCGCCTGACAGGCTGCTGCGACACTGTTCATAGAAACAGAACTCAAGCCACAGAGGTAATTTTAAGTCTGCTGCTGGCCACTTTAATAAAAGCAAAAAGAAACAGGTGGAATTATTTTTAATGACATATTTTATTTAACTCAATATATCTAAAATATTATCATTTCAACATGTAATCAATATTTTAAAATTATTAAGATTTCACATTATTCTCTTCATACTAAGTCTTCGAAATCCAGTGTGTATTTTTCATATGCACAGCACATCTCAATTGCAACGTGTCACTTTTCAAGGCTCAGTGGCCTCATGTGGTGTGCGGCTGCTGTACTGGACCGTGTAGGTCTAGCAGGGCACCTTAACGCTCACACGCAGTAAACATTATGGTACGGTCATCTTGGGCGCCAAGGAAAGGTACAGGATGCTACAAGAGACCGTAATGTGGGCCTCATCAGTCTGAAGGGCAGGGACAGCCTCCCCCGAGAGGGGACACTTAAGCTAAGTCAAAAAGGCTAAGTAGGAATTAATCAAGGTGAAAATGAGAGCACCCTAGGCTGGGAGCGGCTCATGCAAAGGATCAGCGGCCGTGGGGGCTTTTGTTTTTCATTTTCTTTCTTTTTTTTTTTAAGATTTTATTTTTCCTTTTTCTCCCCAAAGCCCCCAGGTACATAGTGGTGTATTTTTAGTTGTGGGTCCTTCTAGTTGTGGCATGTGGGATGCTGCCCCAGCATGGCTCGACGAGCAGTGCCATAGTCTGTGCCCAGGATCCGAACTGGCGAAACCCTGGGCCACAACAGCAGAGCGCGCAAACTTAACCACTCGGCCATGGGGCCGCCCCCCCATTTTATTTCTAATTATGACTAAAAAAAATAACACAAAATTTACCTCTTAACCTTTTTGGTTTTTTGAGGATGATTAGCCCTGAGCTAATATCTGCCGCCAATCCTCCTCTTTTTGCTGAGGAAGACTGGCACTGAGCTAACATCTGTGCCCATCTTCCTCTACTTTATACATGGGACGCCTACCACAGCACGGCTTGCCAAGCAGTGGCATGTTCGCACCCAGGATCTGAACTGGCAAACCCCGGGCCGCCAAAGCAGAACGTGCACACTTAACCGCTGCACCATTGGGCCAGCCCTAACCATTTCTAAATGAACAGTTCAGTATATTCACATTGTTATGAAACCAGTCTCCAGAGCTTCTTCATCTTGTGAACCTGAAACTCTATACCCATTAAACAACAACCACTTCCCCCTCCCCTCAGGGGCTGCTTTGCCATAGATTCCAGCAGGCTACATACATTATGTGTGAGTTGGGGTAGGCCAAGGGGGTGCCAATTCTACCACCTTCCCTGCCCAAGGACTCCTGGCGGCAGGTATGCACAGAAACAAAGTCCCCAGAGATACTTGGTGGGGCATGAGTTTGATGAGAGTTTGGTAGAGCCAAGGAGCGGCTGGCAAATTGGGTCCTGGGAACGGTTGGGAAGGGGTCTAGGGGAGGCTCATGGTTGTCAGAGGGTCTCCCCAGATACCCGGGCACCCACCCGATTCGTGGATGATGAGGAGCTAGCGTACGTGATCCAGCGGTACCGGGAGGTGCACGACATGCTCCACACCCTGCTGGGGATGCCCACCAACATCCTGGGTGAGTGCCACCCTCCCAGCTGCCTCGAGAGTGGAGGGTGGGTGGGGCGAGGCCCTCCAGCCAGCCTGTCCACCTGGCTCTGTCTTCAGGACCAGGGCAGGGCTCACCTATCTCTGCCACCCACCAATTAGCTGGCTCAGTGCCTCATTTTCTACTTAACCCGAACATCTTGGTAGCATCTATGCCACGCGTGCCCTCTCCTCTATCCCCACTGCCTCTGTGGCTCCTGTACTGATGTGGCGGCGTCCAAGCATCAGGGCTCCCTACTCTGAAACTCTCAGCAGCTCCCTAAGACCTGTAGGTACCAGCCTGGCTATTGGGAGTCCTCTGCATTCTGACCCAGGCTTCCTTTTCAGCCCTTGTTTCCTTCTGCTCTTTCTTGGACCCTCCCCTTCACCTCAAGGAAGGAGCCCAGCACAGGTGGGGACTGGGCATGGCCGAGCCCTGGTAGAGGTCAGAGAGGAGCAGACACCTTGCTGTGCCCTGCCATGCACACCACTGGCCTCTCCTCCTGGCCCCTTCTCACTTCCCACTCCCCCGCCCTGCCTCCCAGGAGAGATTGTGGTGAAGTGGTTTGAGGCTGTCCAGACTGGCCTGCCCATGTGCATCCTGGGTGCACTTTTTGGACCAATTCGACTGAGTGCCAAGTAAGTTCTCAAGTGGCGAAGGGCCGGGGGAGAATTGAGAGGGGCTAGGGCTCCAGGAAATGGGAAGAGCATGCAGCCTTCCTGCGCATACCCCAGTGGTTCTCCAGGAAGCCAGAGTGGAAAGAATGGGGCAGAGAGGTGACAGTGGCCTGGCACAGGGTCTCTGGGGCAATGAATGAAGCATGGACGTTTCATGGGACCCTGGGGTCTCTTGGGCCAGGCCTCAGTGGCAGGTCAGAATGATGGAGTTGGGGCCGGGGGGACAAGGTAGCGTTAGTTTCTGGAGCTAGGTGGCCCTCACATTAAATCTGGGTTTTGGCATGTTCAAGATGTGTGGCTTTGGGCACAGGATTTTACCTCACTGAGCTTCTGTTTCTTTATCTGAAAAATGGGAATAATAACTACCTCCTCCTTAGGTCTGTGTGGGGATGAACATGAAAATGCACAGTAACTGCTGGGCACACAGTGTGCCCAGCCCTCGGACCTTATGTCTTCTTTTCCTCTGCTGCCCCACAGGAGCCTGCAAGTGCTGGTCTCTGAGCTGATCCCATGGGCAGTTCAGAATGGGCGCAGGGCCCCGTGTGTCCTCAACCTGTACTACGAGCGGCGCTGGGAGCAGCCCCTCAGGGCTCTACGGGAGGAGCTGGGCATCACGGATCCCCCCTGCATGTCGAGGGCCTGGCCTAGGCCCTGAGCCGCTGAACCAGGGGGGCCTGGCCTGGCTTCCCCTGGGGGCAGAGGACTCTTTTGCCAATACCTTTGTTCCTTTTCTTTGAACACTGACTCTGGGACATCATTTATCAGAATTTGTCGTAACCACTGCTGAGTGGCTTTGAGGGCCAACCCAGGAGGGAGCAGTCTGTGCAGTGGGGTTCCCAGGCAAGCCAGGACTTAGCCAAAGAGAACCACATGTGACCAGGAATCAGTTGTCTAGGTTCATATGAGATGTCTTGGATCCACACCCCCTGTTCCAGAACCCTCCCTGCCAACCAGGGTTTTCTGGGTGCCAAGCTAGGTATCCTCGCAGGAGTGAGGGCTACACCCAATTCCAGAGGCCTAAGTAGGGGGAGGTGAGTCCCCACTGTCTGAATAAAGGCTCCCATCAGGTCACGTGTCTGTTTCTCCCATGACTGGCAACCTGTGGCAGACTTTCCCTCCAGCCTGAGCTTCAGCTGCTTGTCCTGTCTCTGGTCTGAAGTCGGCCGACTGGGACTCAAATTCCTAACTCCTCCACTGTTTTCTAGCAGAACGACTCAGGACAAGTCCCTTCCCCTCTCTGAGCCCATATCATCATCAGTAAAAGGAGAATGAGAGCAGTACCCACCTCCTGGGGTTACTGTGGGGCTTTCGTGAGGTGACACTCAGAAGAAGGGCTTCAGAGGAAGGACCTAAGGGGCAGGAGCTGTTTTAGTCTTGCTGTGTTTGCAGGTGGAGGAGGCAGCTGCGAGGCTGCAGGGTCATTTTCCTTGGATCAGAGCTAAGGAGTGGGGACGGGCAGGGTGACAAGTATGGTTGGAGGAGTGGGTGGCCCCATCTTGGGACTTAGAACCAGAAACACTCCCAAGATGGCAGAGCCTTTAGAGCTTTTGGGGGGCCAGCTCCTCACTGTGTGGATAAGACAACTAAGGCCCAGAGAAGGGCAAAGAATTGCCTGGAATAACTAGAACACAGGCCACAAGCCCTCCTGGTTGGTTTTCCTATGCTTCAGTTCCCCATCGATGATGAGAGCTGCAGTGTATTTACAGGTGTACTATGTGCCTAAGTACTTGAGAGGCATTCTCACATTGACACCTCCAACAACCCAAGGAGGGAGGTGGTACTGTTACTTGTATTTTACTAATGAGGCAATAGGAGCAGAGCTGGGACTGGAACCAGGGGTTGTCCGAGGACCTGCCCAGCACTGCGACACCAGTGCCTCAGCCTTCCTTGTGCCACTATATCTCAGTCCAGGGCTCCCAGTGGCAGAGAGAGGGTGTGGAGGGTGTGGGAGGCCGGGGGCCTACCTCAGAACCATGGCCTTGTCAAGAGGGAAGCCTCATGCTGAGCTCTTGGAATTCCTGCAGAAAGAGGAGGGGATGGGGATGAGCTCCCCATACCTCAATGATTTTTTTCCAGGCCTTTCCAGGCCTGCCAGCTGTTTCCATGGCTTCCCCAGGGTCCCAGGGACCCCCACCCCCAGGTCAGTAAAAGTCAGTGGTGCCAAGGTGGGGGGAGGGGTATAGGGGAGGGGATCAGATTCTCCTGGCCTCTGCCCAGCTGGGGAGCTCACCTGCTATGCCACTCGGTGCCTGGATGACCCTGGGCCTTTACAGCACTGGAGAGAGCACTGGGCATCCAGATTAGCTGAGAATGGATGCCGGTTTCCAGACCATAGTGTGGCATTTTTGTCACCAGCTTGCAACTGGAGAAAAATACTGGCAATAGCTACCACTTACTGAGTTCTTCTGACAGTCTATGAGGCCCTGCCAACTTCTGCCTAGAAACTTCCATTCTTCATCTCAATATAATGTGTTGACCTTCTTCCTGTCTTTGGGAACAGCACTCTGTCCCCAGGTCATTTACATGGTCATTTATTGTATTTACAATTACATGGTCATTTCCTTGTCATTCACATCTGTGCTCAAATGTCACCTCCTCAGAGAGGCCTTCCCTGACCACCCCATCTGAAGCAGTCCCCTCCCCTCACTTCATCATATCACTTTATTTTCTATAGAATGCTTACCACTCTGAAATTATCTCATTTGTTATTTATTTACAAGTTCTGTGTCTGCTCCAGGAGGGCAGAGACATTGTTCTTCCCCTTCACTGCTGCAAACAGTGCTTGGCACACAGTAGGGGCTTGCTGCTTCATTGTGGAAGGAATGGATGCCAAGCTTCGTGCTGCGCATCCCCTGTGCAAGACTCGTCTGGTCCCCGCAACAGCCTCACTTCACGGTGAAGACCCCAGGTCTCAGGTTCAGAGCGTGTCCTAGGGTCACACAGCTGGGATATGGTGGAGCCTGTCCTGGGACGCACAGGTCTTGAGTGCTCTCCCAGAAGCCAAAGGAAGGCTCCCTTTCCCTCTGTCTCATCGCAGCCATATGTAGCTGACCCCAGAGCAGTGTTTGGGAGTCCAGGCTCTGAAGGCAGATGGACCTGGGCCTGCTGTTGACCAGCACTGCACCCTTGCAGTAGTCACGTCACCCCTTTGAGCCTCTGCTTCCTCATCTGGAAAATTGGAGCGTATATATCTGTCTCACAACAGGGCCATTGTGCACACCTAGGGCTTTAGCACATAAGCACTTAGGAAATGGAAGTTGTCATTTGGCAGGAATGCCCTTCATGGCCTCTGAAGTCAGCATGTACACAATCAAGCCAGAGGTATTTATTTTGCATACACCCAGAGTGGGAGGACTTATAGAGCTCAGAGATCCTCATGTTAAATGCACCTGATATCTATGGGGTAAACACCTACTCTGTGGCAGGGGTCAAAACACTTCAGTCCCCTGGGGAGGTTTAATTCCTTCAAGTGACTCCAAATGTCAGTCTCTGATAAGTCTGCTGGTTTCAGTGCTGACATTAGTTCCCTAATGCAGGGCAGATGGGGGTCATGTCAGTGGAAAGGAACCCACTGTGAGGTCAGCCTAAGCTCACCCTGTCCCACCCAGCTCCTGCCCTTCTTAGGAACCCTCAGTGGCTCTTGATGGCAGCAGGATCAACAACTCAGCCTGGCAAACAAAGGCCTTTCCAATCACTTTTCCCACTACATAGCCCTCCTGTGCCATGTACTCTGCCATGTGCTCTGATGCACAAGCCCCTAGTCTTCAGTCATTTCACAAATATCTTCTGAGCGTTTGCTGAATGCTGGGGATTCCGCAGTGACTGAGACAGCTGCCTCCCCACCCTCTTAGAGTTGAGCAGTATGGCAGCTGAGGGCCTTCCATGTGCCACCCTGTGCTGAGAGCTTGATATGCATCATCGCACTGAATCCATACCCAGCCTTAGGAGGCAGGGACGGTGATGATTGTATTCCCATTGATGACAACTAAGGACACAGGCTCCATGGGGAGACGTGATTTGCCCAGTGTCTCACAGCTGGGGCTGGGAGTGCAACTCAGATGTGTCTGACTGGAAAGCAAAAAAGACAAATCACAATAGTGTGTGGTGAGTGTTGACAGAAGTACAGTGAGCACTTGGTGAGGGACAACCTATTCTAGTGACCTAATCTCCACCCACGCTCTCTGTGTGTCCAACTAGACTGCAAGCAACTTGAAGGCAGACTGTCTTGTTCCCTCTGTCCTCTCACACCTCCCCCCTCAGGCCTGGCCCAGAGTCTGCGGGGCACTGCTTTGGCTTCACCAAAGTGACCTGCCTGGGTAGAGGAGAGCCTGGGGGCTGGTCGCCACCGCCTTCCTCCAAATTCTCACTTTGCATATGACCTCACAGTCCATGTGGAAATAATCATGTTTATACCCATGGATCCTGGTACAGATAAAGTCAGAGTCTTCAATTCACTCTCCCTGTCATTCATTCAACAAACATTTATTGAGTTTGTTATTTGCTAAGCCCTATGGATACAATGAGATAATCTTCATGTCTAGATATTGTATGTGCTTTGTAGTCAATGAGTCTGTAAACTACAATAATAAATATGTCAAGTGCTAATTCAAATGCTCCCCATGACTCTCCACACCAACCCTGTGAGGTAAGCACTATTAGTATGTCCTCGTTTTTGTAATATAAGAAGAAATGGGGACTGAACTTTCAACTGAAAAGTTAACCCAAATGTGTTGGATGCCAATGCCCAGGCCCATAACCACTGCACCACACCGCCTCCTGAATCTAATACCCGTGGCAGAGGTGGTGTTTTAATTTACCGAGGTCCTCCAAAAGGATGCACCCTATCTGGAAGAAATAGGTCCGAATACTTATCAGACCAAAATTTCATTTTTGATCCCTATGAATAGAGCCTGAAAAATGCCCCTCCCTGCCTTTAAGGACTTCTACTGGACTAGGGGATTAAAGGATCTATTTAAGGACAAGTGGCAACTGTGGATGCCCAACGTGCGTGATTAACAGGGAACCAAATTTTCAGAGGCCCAGAGTCACACAAGGCTGGGAAGCTGGCCAGTGGACCAGGGCTTGGCAGGTGGCATGACAAATATGGTTATAGCTTTAGAGGCCAACCGATTTGCCGCAGAGTCCAGAGGAGGCAGAGACCGAAGTTAGGTACAGGTCTCCATATCACCTCCCTTTGTATCACCAGGTGTGCCAGGCTGCTTATAAGATACCTTGGATGGGAAAGGATTCCTATGCAGTAATCCCCACGCCAAGTTTATTGCTGTCCCAGAAGCAGAGGTGGCAGCCTCAGGTCTACAAGTCTTTTGAACCTCATAAAGTTACTGGAGGCCATAAAATATGAGAATGCGAGTGAGTTGTCAAAATTTGACTCTGGCGGGACTCGAACCCACAACCTTTGAATGACCACACCAGGATCAGCTAGAAGTCCAATGCGCTATCCATTGCACCACAGAGCCAGCCACCCAAACTTGTCCCCTGACTCACCTCTCCACCTGAAACCGCCGTTTCAGAGTTCTTCTAGGTGTCGCTGGCTAGGAGAGGCTTGCTGAACTCTGCACCGGTCTGGACAGGGACTCCTGATTCTGCGCCGTCAGTGAGGGTGGGGGTACTCTGCCCCACGTCCAGACGCCCCAGTACTGGGGAGTCGGGGCCGAGGTAGAGTTCACCTGTCTCCTCCCGACCCTGGAGGTGTCCGCAGCCGGGCGGGACTGGGAGGTGCGGACTACAACTCCCAGGGTGCCGCGCGAGGCGCCGCCCGAGGCCGTCGCGCGCGCAGGACGGGCTGGGCCGGGTGGCGTCGGGCGTGCTGGGGCTGTGCCGCTGGCTGAGGTCGCTGGCCGTGGGGAAGGGGCGAGAGGCGGTGCTGCCGGCCCGCGCAGCCGGTTTGGGTTGCAGGAGGCGGACGGGGGAGGAGCGCCGCGGGCGGGCGGGGCGGTTCGGGCGGCCAGGCCATGCAGGACGCAGAGCCGGCGAGTTGCGGCTGAGACCGGGCTCTACGCACCTAGAGGCAGCTAATGCCCCTCGCTTTCCCCGCTCCGCCACTGGAGTCG